ACAATGAATATACATTTTATAAATGATATATAATAACTTTTTTTATTTATTGGTTAATTTTTTCAATTTATATCAAGAATTTATTATGAAATTATCCCACTATTTTTTAAACCAACATAAATTATTATGATATACAATATACATTAATAATATTAAATCCATTAACATTTTAATATAATATTTTTTAAGATTTTTTATGTAAAAGAAAAAAAATTTTAAGTCACCGAAACATGAAATAATAGACTTATGCAATGGTCTGGTTTTTAGGGCTTTCTGAAATATTTTAAACATTGGGCGGGTGGTGGACGTATAAAAAATATTTTTAAAATAGGCTGATGAATTTGAAATATTTTTCGAGCGAAATGAGCAAAATAGACTTCTATTAATAAAAATTCATTTTTTTATTTCCTAATATTGCAACCTTTTTCAAGTTTAATTAAAAATACATTTAACTAAATGAAGAGCCAAATCAGCCACTAAGATAATTTTTAAAGATTAGGCTAACGGGTGGGTGGGCGAACGGATTAGAGGTTGACTCAGTTTTAACAAGGATGCGATATCCGAATATTTAATAAAAGAAAGCGCAAAACTCCAAAGTTCTTATGAAATATCCACATATCCTTGATATTTCTTAAATGGTTTATTCAGGCTTCAACTACTAGAATTTCCTTCATTTAGAATTGAAAAAAAAGAAAAATATGCTTTTTCTACCTTAAATAATACCTCCTATAATTTCTCAAATCAAGTTGTAAATCTGTTGATCATTTCTTTTTTGGCTTTCTTCCCAGCAATAGTTAGGAATTTTTTAAGCATTTTTGTAGATAAATTTAGATCTTACAAAAAATCATGAGGCATGCTATACTATTTTGTTTAGATTAAACTGTAAAATCGTTTAATCCATAAAATTTAAAGTTTTGTCAAATGTTTTAATCCAAAATCCTACATTTCTTTTAATAAAAACGCTTATACCAATTTATAAAGTCACGTTCCCACTTTATAGATCTAATTTTTTAAAAAATTTGTATATATTTCACATTTTATAAAATAAATTTTACAACTAGAATTTATTTTAAATTAATTAAAGATTTTAAACGAAAACATTTTTTGATTTTCTCAAAAACGTGTAAAATCTCAATATTTGCAAATAACAACTAAAAAATATAATTTAATTTTAAAATACATTACAAGTTCTTTTAACTTATAATTTGTTGTTAGGTCTATCTGAATGGAAAGTTGAAATAAATTAATAGCTTTAAGGATTGTAATAAAAAAAAATTCCTATAATACTCAAATAAATAATTATAGCTTTATAACTTAATAAGTGAAGTATACGAAAGTTTTAACGAACATATATTAATTCTAAAAAAAAAAATTCCTATAATACTCAAATAAATAATTATAGCTTTATAACTTAATAAGTGAAGTATATGAAAGTTTTAACGAACATATATTACTAAAAAAAAATAATTGCATACCAAATGTTATATTTTAAAATTAAAAGAATATATATTAATGAATGGAACAAGACCTCTATATCTTTTAGAGCTTTTTTTCTGTTATGCTTTGAACTGGGCCAAACCTCCTGACGATGATATTCTATGACAGATATGTCATATATTAAACCAGCGGGACATTTGATACTATAGTATAATTTTCTGCAAAAAATTTTAATTGAAAAAATATCGATTTGTAATTTTTTATCACAGTTATCTACCGACGTTTGTGTTCAAATCAAAAAAATTAACATTTTTAAAAAAGGACAAAATCAAAATATAGATTTGTATTTTAATTATTTGTAAAGTTAAAATTTTTTTAAAATAAATGATTTCCCTTTTTAAATAAAAAGAATAATGAAGAACAAAGCGGTTCTGTATAAATTTACACCAGAAAACTTCAAGATAGAATTTTTATTTTTTTAAATGAACTTCTTGATGGGATTGGAAAAGCTTATAGATTTTTTTTTATCATAATCGGGCATTTTAAAATTTTTAATGTCGTTACTAAATGCTCCACCTAATTACATTAATTTAATTTTTGATAATTAAAATTTATTTATTACCAATAAGCCACGGCCCCCCCCCCCCAAAAAAAATTTCACCAAGCCCAGCCCCTCCAAAAAATTTGGCCCCCAAATTAAAAAAAAAATATTTAGCTATTAAATTTTAAACACCCATTAACGATTAAATCTAAATAAAAATAACGACAAAATTTTTAGAAAATAATCATTTAATTAAAAGTTAAGAAAACCTGAGCATAATTATTCATTATATTTTTTGTGGAGAAATCCAAGAAAATTTAAATTTAGTATTAATGGCTTATGGAAAAAAATAATACTGAAAGCTTTTAATTCATTTATGTTAACATTTAAAGATAAAAATCGTCGTTTACAAATTTTTAATAAAAATAGCTAAAAATTTCTATGAGTGCCTCACTATTTGTTTTATTTTTAAAAAATATTGTCCCACCACCCAGAGTAAACAGTTGCCTATCCCAGCTGGAAATTCCTGAATACGGCCCTGATTATAAATGCATATTCTTTGAAAATTAGTCTCGTCTAAATATCTTAAATCCAATTTCATCAGACTTCTACCATTTCAGAACACTTTATCTTAACCATTAATTTGATGGAATAGTTGTAAGAATTTTAACGAGTATCACTTATAAGATCTCTTCAATTTTTCTAAATGATATCCGCCATTTTTTGACAACTTATTTTATTTTTAAACCAGTATTAAACAATTGTAAAATGATTACCTTGATATTCCTTTGAAATGTTTAAGGTTTAGATTTTGGCAAGAGCAGTGGTAAAGCTTTAGTAGTAAAGGTGACAAAATTATTATGGACAGTTAAAATATTATCTAGACTCTTTAATTTGAGTATTATCTTTATTAAAAATAAAGGAGAAATCAGTGGGAATAAAATTTCTAGTGGTTGCTAGAATAGGATGGTGATATTTTTTTTTTAATGTATAGTAAATTAATATATTCTTATTAAAATTCAAGATATTATCTAAATTATAAAGATTTAATTAACATACACGCTTTCCCAACCTTGGTTTAATAGTCTCTAAAGTAATGTCAAAAATTATATTCATATAGTTTTGAATCTAGTTAAAATAATTTTATAACCAATATATAATTTCTATAAGAATAGAAATTTAGCAATAACAATTTTTATCCAGTCTCAAGCCTTCATTAAAATGATAAACTTTTAAAAGGATCCAAATATCATTCATTAAAAGGATCTCAATCAGGATCCTTGTTTAAAAAAAAGGATCGTCGATCAGCTATTTGACAAAATTTGGATCGAATCCAAGATTATCGATTCTTATGGTTTTCGGTTTAACGTAATAAATTTTATACGCTACCGTTGACTACATGTTAATCAGAGATTTACTTACCTCGGTTCGGCCCGTCCGAGAGCACGGCCCGTGGATCGGATCAGACAAAAATTTTAAAGAGAATGACAACTTGTACGAAATTTTCAACGGGCCCAAATGGGCCGAGGCCTTTTATGTCATACACGAAAAAAATTTCCCCATAGAGCTTAATCACGAGTGCATTTCCCCTGAATGCACATTACCTCGTATGCCTATTGCAGCGAAAAGATATTCCGCGAATGAATTATCGTAAATATTATATCGCAAAATTTACCAAAAATGCATTACCGCAAGAGCATTGTAGCAAATTATTCGAATGCCTCGATTCTACATATAGGGGAGACTAGGGTTAGGTAAACCCCGGGACTTGGCAAACCATTAATCTTATTTTAAAATTAAATATACGAGAAGGTTAAAATTTTATCCTAATATATTTTTTTTAGTTTACATCTATAGACAAAAAAATCTTTTGAAATATTTAATAATTAAAAATTTTGTTTAAGAAATAAAATTTTGATGAAATTTTCAAAAGATATTTACATGATAAAATTTTAATTTTTATTAAAATATATAATCATTTATATGTAAATTAAATTTTATAGCAAAGTTTAAACACTCTTCTATAACTTGGGAAAGTTTTATGAGTATTTATTATATCTAGATATTATTTCAATCATAATTTATCAATTTAGAGCTATCGGAGCTTACTAAACCATACACGTCAATTATGGCAGTTAATGAAAAAAATAATTTTTAAAATGCAATTTCATGGCGGTTTCATGATTTGTATTTAGTATTTATGCTCAGAAATCATAATCTCTCCTTGAGATCCTTATTTTTTTATTTAAAAATGTTTATTAAATTAACCAAAATTTAGTTTTAATTTTTATATATAATTTACTTCAATTTATAAGTATTATGATATTTTGAACAATAAAATTATTCTAATTAATAAATAAAAATTTATTATGGCCTAAAAAAATCAATGGTTTAGGAAGTCTCATGAAGTGGTATGCCTCACCACGCTATTGGGGCTAGTTGAAAATTTTTCACTTCTACAAAAAATAAAATTTAAAAAAAAAAATTATATTTTTAAATTTTTTTATATGACACCTTTAAATAGTATAGTTTTAGGTATCTAATCATATATTATTTTATAATCTAAAAAAAACCACAAGCTATAGCCAATTTTGTAAAAATAGGTTCGACTAACCCCAATCTCCCCTACCAATGTATTGAAATATCATCGCAAATGTATCACAACTAAATGCATTATTGTGAATTGCATTATCCCGAAATCCATTATCACAAATGCATAGTCGTGAATGGATTATCTTAAATGAATATAGTATCTCCAATGTATTAATGCGAATGAACGCAATTTGGCAAAGATTTACATCATATATATATATGGGCCTTTAAACGTGCAAAATAGATCTCTAAATGTTTGACTCGACGCCTAGCAATTTTAATATGTGGGGCTCGGATTTTTTTTGAATCGGGACAGGCTAGCTCTAGCATTATTAATTGTAAAAAAATTTTTTTTAATTAATCATGCATTCAAGTTTCTATGACTAAAATTTTCAATATATTTCTTATTGTTATACTATACATATTTTAGATATTATGGTTGGACTTTTTAATGTATTGGTAGACATACTATGGAAGTTCACTGTTTATTGGTATGCCGGAAATTTTATGTGCAAATTAATTCGTTATTTACAAGTATTTATCAATTTTTTAAAATCTGAATCGTCAAATGTTAATTTGTATTTATATCTATATTTTAAAGCATCACTATAATCGTTCTCTTTTCTGTATATTTATATTTGCAATATTAACTAGACAGTCGTTATATATGCATCCACTTACGTATTGGTGGCGATGAGCTTAGATAGATATTTGGCCGTGTGCAGACCTTTACATTACTTAAAAAAAGGTATATAACAAAAAACTTTTCAATTATACAATTATAAAACAAACTAAAAATATTTTATTATGAAACTATAAATGATTTTTTATAGAATAAATTCATATAAGAATGTTTCTTTCTGTTGTTTTTTATACATTTAAAATTTCAATATTTTATGTTGTTTTATGCATCCGTGATCAATTTTTTAATTAATTCTAAATTTTTATATTTCTTTAAGAAAGAAAGATTTAAAATGTGAAATTAAATTTGAATTTATATTTCTTTAAGAAAGAAAGATTTAAAATGTGAAATTAAATTTGAATTTATATTTCTAAATTATTTGGAGGGGGAAAAATTATATTTAAAAAGTTAAATTACATAAACTTTCGTGTTATATGATTGCCCTAGTTGTGACATAAATCTGGGACTTATAAATTTCTACAAGTTCTCTAATTATACTTATTCTCTACGTTATTTTTTAAATTTTTTTTCTTTTCAAGAAACAAGATATATGATGATAATCATAGTGTGGAGTTGCAGCTTAATCTTTTCAATACCTTCTTTAGTCTTTAACCATATTAAATCTGTATCAATAACCAATTCTAACAACATAAATGCTGATTATAAAGAGTCTTCATTCACCACGGATCTTCCTTTGAATCGGGTGTTTAAACACACGTTTTCTCTCAACTCTTCTAATGTGAATATGTTTAATCTTACAAACGTTTTGTTAGATACTCCAAGCCTTTATCTTGATAATTATTCGTATCAATGTTGGATTTCTTTACCCTACGATTGGTTATGGAAGCCCTATTTCACGATCATCATGGCATTGGTTTACATAATTCCGGCATTTATAATGATTATTTTTTATGGGATCATAGTTTTAAAGATCTGGCGACGTAGTAAAGATTTTAAACCTTACTCCGTTAACTCAAACAAAACCGTTAATTATTTCGAGTCTTCGAATACCTCGCCTTCTTCGCGATTACCTAGTTTCAAAAATGTTTTATCATATGGGTTTAAATACAGTCCATCATTTTATACCAAAAATTTAAAAGGAAAAAATTCGAAATTATTTTACTATGATAAGAAGAAAAGGGACCAGAGTGGTGATATTAAAAAAACCTTTAATAAAGCGACCATTAAAAAAATTGCCAAACCATTACCTCTTAACCGCGAAGGTAATTTTTTCTGGACTCCTATACACGCACTTCAGACTTCTATTAGACCCTTTTTACCCATGACTTACAACGTGAATTTAAATGATAAGAATGCGTGTCTAATATTTGACAACAAACACACTCAAAATGTTTACAGGGCCAACTGTATTAATGCAAATAATAATAGTATTATAAATCATCACAAAAAGTTGCAAAAGAAATATATTGGTAACGGAAATATCAAAAGATCTAGTAATATTGTAACCCCAAATAAAACTTATTCCAACAACATAACCTTGAAAAAAACTAATTCCTTGACTGCCCCCCTTTTAATACAAAAGTCATCAGAAGAAATTGCGAATATATCAAAATACAATTTGTTACCTCCATCTAACGATGTTTTCTCTAAAACAAATCAACGCTATTCTTTTTACAATTTAAAATTCCGAAAATCTTTCCAAGGCAATTATTTATTGTATCTGTTTGTTTATAAAAATATATATCCTTTAATATTTTATATCATAAATTATCATTTAAAACATGCATCATCGTGTAGTTGAAGTAACTAGTTATATTTTTTGGAAAACTTATCAAGCTATCTTGTAGAAATCTTTAATCTAATATGATTTCAAAATCAAGGAATATATTGTCCATTCAGGCGCGTATGCAGCGAGGGTGAAACAGGGGACAAATACCCCCCCCCCCCAAGCCAAAAAATTAAATGCTGGCTAAAATATTTTTCAAAAATATTACCGATTCCTACCTCTTATTGCATAGATATTCTATTCTACATTTATTATCATTCACAGTAGAAATAAATACGCTACTAATTTATTCTATCAATTGATATCGATTTCAATTTTCCTTATTGTTATATTTATCTACCATTTTAAAATTTCCACCTAATTACCTGAACCTTTTCATTGCAAAACGAAAATAAAATGTTTTAAAATGGCATCGATTTGATTGAGACGATGTGAATAGCTGAAAGCATTATATTGGAACTTAAGGAAATTAGGTCAAATATAGGTGAAGAATTTCATAAATTATATGTCACTGTTGAGAAAGCAGAGCTCTAAGAATTTTGTATTTGTCTACCTCAACTCGCAGCAAGACAAGCCCATCATTCCAATATTAATATAGAGTCAGTTGAAGAATACTATAAAATAAACTATTTTACCTCTTGAATACTTTTATTATTAAAAGATTCTTAATTAATCTGCAAATACTATCGCAGAATCCTTCCAAATCTAATTCAAATCTTGATAGAAAAAAATAAAATAATTGTCAGATTTTTTGGAGGAAGTAAAAGTATCCCATGATGCATTACTAGCTATGCCAACTAGAGATCTGCAAAAGTAGGCCCGTCCCTACCCGGCCCGAACGGGCTTCAGGCCGGGTTCGGGTCTAATTTTTTAAAAATATATCGGGTTTGGGCCAAGTCGGGTTTTTTAAAAATAAATAATAAAAATATTTGATTTTATTTATAGAAACTAGACGTCATATAACATATGTCTATTATTTTGAGTAATTATAAAAATTATTATCTCTATTTAAATAAATTTGGTCCGGGCCGGGCAGGTAAATTTTTTTAAAAAAAATTTCGGGTTCGGGCCGGGCTGGCATAACTTTTTAAAAAAAAATTTCGAGCCGGGCTTGAAAAATTAGGCCCGATACAGATTCCCTAATACTAACTATGGTAAAAAGGTTAAATATGGTTGATATTGTTCCAAAAAATTTTATAATTGCTTAGCATAATTTGAAACACATTTTAGATTATTTTCCTAATGCATAAAAATTATTATATATCTTAGTAACTCTACCCTTTAGTATTTCTATCAATCAAATAACATTTTTTTCTTTAGCAAAAATAAAAACATACCTGAGTAGTGTTATTAAATGGCTTGATTTGAGCCGATTTTTAAATACGTTAACTCAATATTTTAGCCAGAAAATTGCCTAAGCATAGATGTCCCAACCTTTATGCTGGATATGAGCAAAATCAATTTAGAAGAAAGCACGCTTTTTAGATAGCTATATTGAAATTAGTTTATTTTTTAAGTCAAATAAAATATTTGTGATACTTTTCTCAGGCAATTATTTCTTTACACAAATTTCATTTTCATTTTTTGTTCCTTTGATAAAAAAAAAATTTGTAAATCGTGAAATTATTTTGTATAATAAAAAATTATATTAAATATTTATAAATAACCATGTAACTATTTATAACTAGGTAATTCAAAATGTAACTTGTAAAGTAAAATAATTATTCGTCGAAAGTAACTTTTTACAACACCAATATCAACTAGAATAACGACGTTAATTTTACATCACTACTATTTAGTTTTAAAATAAATTATAAAGGTTATATATTTTGCTATCTAAAAAATTTCGTTTAAAAAATTAAGTAAATAAAATATTTGGATTTTATAATTCAATATTTTTTTTAGATAAAGATAGAAATAGTTTAAAAAACAAAACATCAAATCCTAAATTAATGGTAAACTCAGTTGGCCTTATACCAAGAGCAAAAATCAAGAGTATCAAAATCACATTTGCCATCGTGACAAGTATAATTTCTCCAATTAAAAATGGGGGATATAATATGCAGATTTATTATATATTTATATATTAGTATTTATCATATGTTGGAGCCCCTATTTTATATTTGACTTTCTCGACGTTTACAATATGATCAACGACGACAATCCGCGAAAAAGGGCATTGACTATGTTTATTCAAAGTTTGAGTCCTTTGAATAGCGCGGCTAACCCTTTGATTTATTTCGGATTCAACACCAAATGGTGGAGGAAAGTGAAGTTTATATTTTACATAAATATCATTAATTATATAGAACGAGAGAGAGTAGGATCACTATGTCTTCATATAACTTTAAGGAGTGCCTAGCAGAATAAAAAGTCCAAACATTTACAAGACTGGGAGGGGGGGGGGTTTACCATATGTAGTATGCATTAAAATTTAAAAAGATATATATATACATTATATTACAGGGATTTTGAATTAAACCGTTAATCTGATATTAGCCATTTTTATTTATCGAAGAACCGTTAAAAAATTTGACACTCGAACCTGAATCGAACCTCAAATGCCTGTAAACCGGTTTGAACCTTTTGGTATCTTAACTCTTTTAAAGATAATTAATAATCAATTTTAACTGATGATTATTAATTAATTTTAAATATATTTCTATATTGTTATTTGACGGTGCCGATACCCAAGTTTGCATATATATATATGTGTTTTTTTAGTCCTAAAAGCATTCTTCCTCCTTATAGATATAATATGATAGAGGATAATCTTGAACAATTTTATTTTTTAGAAAATAGAGATAAAATTTTAAAAAAATATTATTTTCTTTTAATTCTAATACCCTCATATGAAAGTTTGAAAACTGGTTTTTAAAGGTTCAAACTGATTTGATATTATTATTTTTGAGAACCGAACCTGAAGCATATACCATTTTGGTTTGTTACCCTTAGATCCCTGGCACAATATATGGAAATGTTAAATTGAATTTTATTTTTCATAAATAATTATCATCAGAAAAGCTTGGAGTAGCCGAGGAAGCACCAAAAAAGAATGCATCCCAAAAGTGTATGTTAAAAATAGTGAAAGCTCTTTGGCTCACCGCTCTAATGTTTTATCATAAGCTATTATATAAATAGATTATTATACCTGACATACAAATTATATGTAATATATTGCATAAATTATTTGTTGGTAATGATTTAATTGTGTAAATTATATTAAGATTTCGCAAATAAAAGAATATAAATGGTTTGGAATTGGAATTATCTGATTATTATGATATACAAACGAAATTTAATATAAGGTTTGTAATCCCTATACATGGAGTGTATCAGTTACTGCGAAATACTTGTATCAAAGATACAAGATAATTTAATGGGTTGTTTATATCTGTATCGTAAATATAATGCTTCAAATGTATCAGTATATTTTTAAATTTGGCTTTAAAAAAATTATACATTCCATTCACTTTATTCAAATAAACTTCTAGTGAGTTCTATCAATTTCTTCATAAATTTTTTCCTCCAAAACTTATTTTTTTACAAATAATAAAATTAAATCTCTTCAACCATAAATTTGATGGATTTTAAATGATTTTAAGTCTGGAAATTTGATAATTGAGGAAGTTCGAAGAGCATAAAGAATTTGGAATGTAGTAAAAGATTTTGATAAGAAAAAAAAGCTTGATCAAGAAGGAAATGCTTGGAGATTTTTAAAATAAAATAAGCTAGACCATGCATTATTTGAACGAAAAATGAAGACGAGGTAATTATTTAATGAATATTTTATCATTATTTATTGCATCCGATTCGAAATTTTGAATCATTGTGTTCGAATCAAATCGCATTATGACTATATTTTTTCAAAAATTTATGATATAGTAAAAAGAAATCTCTAAATTCTTTTTTAAAAAATAAATATTAAAAATTTTACTATGTAATAAATTTATATAGATTATTTTTATTATTGTTAATTAATTTATAGGATACAACCTTAAGAATTTGTTCATGATAGAAAATCAAGCGAGTTTAAAATTAAATAATTTATTAAATTTAAAATTCATAAATATTAATAAACATTTGATCGGAAGGCACTCCAAATCCATATATCAAAATATGGAAAAGGAATCGTCGAGGAGACAATACAATATTGCATATCAGCCCATCAAATATTTTCAATTAAAAAAAAATCCCTTCATACAATTGATATTATGGAAATACATAATTATAAATTTGAATGTTATTTTGAATCACTTTATCTACAGGCTATATGAATAGTGTAAGTGACCAGTTCAGGGCCTGAGATTTGACCCATAAAACACTATTATTTATTTGAGTTCTAAATTGAATCTAAATGCAATGCTGGTCTAACCTGGTCTGTTGACCTTAAATACTATATCGTATTCATAATTGATTGTGGTTTAACATATAAATTATCCAAAATATTTTAATAAATAAAAAATCATTATTTTAAGTTACTATTTTGTTGCATTTCAAATATAGGAATATATAAAATGTAAAACATGATTAGAATACGTTATAAATATAATTGCGATTGCCAAAATAAAAATTTAAATAAACATTTATTTCAATTGTTGATTGGATGCGGAGTCCAAAAAATTTTTATAATCAAAATATTCCTTGGGAAGCTTAATATCATCTTTGATTTCTTTCGAATGTCTTAAAAAAATGTGTATAGCAAAAATAAAATATTACAATACAAAGGAAAACCTATATTATATTTTTATAATACCTTGTTCCATGATGAGGATGTCCAACTTCCATTGGTTTTTCATGATGAACTGGGATAGGTACGGCTTTAATAATTTCTTAAAAATCATTGTTGATAATATATGTAAATATAAAATAATTTTCATTCTCACATTAAAGCTGATGATTAATAAAGCGGTTATCTAATTAATTTAAATATACCAAACAGCTTTTGAAATTTATTTTCGATTTCTGATCACCATTAGTTAGGCAGTTAGCTTAGCAGCCATTTTTTTGGCTAAGAGTAAGCCTTAGCCGATTATTTCTAGCTAAGCCTGAGCTAAAAAAATTTCTTTGGCTAATTTGTTTTTTGGGGGTAAGCATGAGCCTATTTTTTGGTAAGCCTTTTCCGAATTCATTATCATTTATTTATTTTAAAATGAAAATAGGTTTATAAAAAATTTGTTTTTTAAAAATATGTTTTCTGTAAATTTAATGATTACTAATGTTCAGAAGAGTGATATCATTGTCATTTTTAACCTTTTATGAAAATAGGTAAAAATGAATATATTGTTACATATGATTAAGAGTAATTTTAATATAAAGTAATTCAGACGCGAACAATTGTCATACTAAAACTTTTTTAATTGTTTTTTTTTTGAAATTTGGTGAAAATAAATTAAAATCTTATTTCCTATAATTTTAATAATAATATAATTCTGTAGCATAATAATTTATCATTTTGCAATTTTTTAAATTTTCTTCTTATGAAAATAAGAGGTAGTTTTTAAAAAATGAATCATGAAGGGTATGGCATTAGATTAATCAAAAAAAAATGTCAAATTATCATAAACAACATTTTTAAAAACTATAAGTTGTAATTGTTAAACCAAATTACAAAGCCGAAGGATATTCAAATCTACTCAAGAAAAAAGAATTAAATTTCGAATGCAAATGATTTAAAGAAAGAGGAATAAAAAAGAATGATTATTCAAATTAAAGAAAGTTCAAGATTTTTTTCAGTTTGTTTGTAAAACATTATGTAAATGAATTATAGAAAAGTATATATATATTCGAGGATATTTGTATAAAAATAGATCATGATTTTACGAACTTAATTATAATTTTTAATTTTAATTTTTTATTATTTTAATATTTTTTTAATTAATTTAGTTTGATTATATTTTTATCATATTATTTAATAAAGATTTAGTATCATTTTAGTTCTAACGTTTATTATTGGACGAATATTATAGAAAAGTATATATAATCGAGGATATTAGTCTGATTTAGTATCATTTTAGTTCTAACGAGGATATTAGTCTGATTTAGTATCATTTTTTTCTAACCTTTCTTATTTGACAACGATTAATCACCCAATCCTTCTAAATTCTTATTCTAAATATTCAAAATGTTACAATGATGTTGGAGAGTGGAGGCGACAGGGCAATTTCAACAATTCAGTCTAATTAACTCTCCCACTAGCCTCAGCAATATAAATATCAATACCATATTGGTACAGAGGTGCCTTACAGCGATTGATCCAGGCTTTAGAAGATCAAAAGTCAGTCTAATTAACTCTGAAAAGAGATTCTAAATAAAGGGGGAAGGGGATGTATGAGATGACTATCGACACTAAGACAAAGAATGAGAGCAATAAAACAATGGTATCAATATTAATGGTCGTATTTCGGAGAATTAGTCGTTTAGCTAAAAAGAATGCGTCACAAGAGATCGTTATACGTACAATTGATCGATGTAGCTAAAAGAAATTCGTTATAAATTTTTATTAAAGATATATGGTTGACTGTTATTTAATATTTAGCAAAATATCAGGTTGTTGATTAACCAAAAAATCTTCATAAAGAGAAACGGCTTTTCGTCATTAGAAAATTTATGCCGCAATCGAGCTCAATTAGAGATCGGATTTTTATTTTGGATCAAAAGATACAAGAAATCATTATCGTATAAGAGATCTTAAGGCAAGATATATTGACAAGAAGACCAGGATGCTATCGTTAATCGTTGACAAATTATAGCCAATTGCTTATCAAAAATTTAAAGATAAAAAATCGAACAAGAAGTCGTGGAAACCATCGTTACTCGCAGACAAATTATCGTCAGTGGTTTACCGTCATTAGTTACTAGAAACCGTTAGAAACAAGCAAAGACTAGGATAATGTGGGAGTAAAACGAGATATAATTAAAGGAGCTAGAAGAATGTATCGGGAACCATGTCTTACTCGCAGAATGGTGGGACTAATCTAAGTGGAAGGGTGTTGTAATTGTTAAACCAAATTACAAAGCCGAAGGATATTCAAATCTACTCAAGAAAAAAGAATTAAATTTCGAATGCAAATGATTTAAAGAAAGAGGAATAAAAAAGAATGATTATTCAAATTAAAGAGAGTTCATGAATTATAGAAAAGTATATATATATTCGAGGATATTTGTATAAAAATAGATCATGATTTTACGAACTTAATTATAATTTTTAATTTTAATTTTTGATTATTTTAATTTTAATTTAGTTTGGTTATATTTTTAACTTATTATTTAATAAAGATTTAGTTTAACCACTTTCTTTATTTGACAACGGTTATAATCTCTCAATCCTTTCAAAACTTTCTATATGTTACAAAGTCAAACTATAATAATTCAGCTAAGTCTTAGCTAAAATATTCAGCTTGCCTAATTTTTTTAGGTCTGGCCTATCCTTAATTTTTAAAAAAATCCTCAGCCTTAGCCAAAAATCGGCTATTATTCAACAATGCCACAGCATTGCCATCAATTTAAACCCCATAATTTATGATTCTTAATATTATAGGAATGGTGTTTTAAAAAAATATATACTACCTTTCCTAGCTAAAAATAATTTGTAGTAGAATAAAGTTACGATTAGAGTTATGACGATCAAAACTATCGACGATATTATTATCATTAATACGAGGGCATCCTTAGGTTTCTTGTCAACTGGTGAATCTGTGGCTGTGTCTTTAACCTCAAATAAACTGTCCGACGAATTTTGATAAAGATTTTCAGTTTGAATTCCATACCCACTCATATTCGATCTAATCATATTTTCGCAATGCTTAGTTTTTTTTTCCTTATAGTAGAAATCATTCATAGTTAGATTTTTATCTTTGCAAAGAATGCAGCAGATATCAGACATTTCGGTTTCGGTGGGAGTATTGGAAAAATGAACTGACTTGCTTATAAAAGACAAAACACTGTAAAATTGGCAATCGCAGCTTATATTATTTTCACCTATAAATAATGCTTTGAGATTGCTTATGGATTTAAAGGTGGGGAGCGCTAATTTGTTTATGTTGTTACTGATTAAATTTATGAATATTATCTGAGAGCCGAGCGCAATATTCTCCATACTTAATATTTGATTGAAAGAAATATCAATCATCTGAAGTTTTGGAAGTCGATCTTTAGAAAAAGTATTTCTCGCTATTTCTGTAATTTTATTTGATTTTAAATTTATCATGACTAACTTAGCGCCGCCGATAAATGCGTCTTCCTTGATGTAATTTATTCCATCGTTAAAGAGTGATAAAATTTGTACTTCTTTAACTTTCGAGATTGTATTTGATGATAGGTGATCTATATTCGAGTGGTATATTAACAACTTTAAGGGATTCATATTTTCGAATAAACCCATATCAAGTGAATTATTGATGAAATAGATATGATCCATATAAATATAAGTCTTGTTAAATTTAACATTAAGCAGGCCGGTATTCTTCAGTTGATTATAACGGGCGTATATACAATTAATCGACAGAGTATCATTGAATGGAGTAGATTGGCACGAACATGGAGGTCTTACATTGCAGTAATCTAAGCACCAAGTATCCATTTCTTTGGGATTCAAGCTCGTTATATATCTACCGCGGTATTCCTCCGGATAATAACATTGAGTGATGTTCAAATCAGATAAACTGACAGCTTTATGGATTGTTTGAGTACCACTTACCTTAGTTAACCAAGTCGCCCATGAATTCAACCAAGTAAATGTTGGCTTATTAAAACAGGAGCAACTCAAGGGGTTGTCTTCTAATGAAAATCCCGTTAATTTCTCAGCGATGTTTATATATTTTACGGGGAAAAACCCCACATTGTTGCCATCAATAAATAAAGCTTTTATATCAGAACTCACAGTCAAATTAAATAATGTATCGTATGTTAAATCTATATCTGTTGCATGTATTTCCCTTATCGATGGGCCCAATTCGTGGGAATGTAAAGAAATGCGCTCAATCGGATTATGAGATATATCGAGGACCTCTAAATCCTTGTTTTTTTCGAAATATCTACTGTACATCTCAGTTATATTATTATGTTCTAAAGACAGTTGGGTCAAATTAGGCAAAGGATAAAACAAGTTGAATGGTATACTTTTTATAAAATTGTTTCCCATTTTTAGTCTTGTTAAATGGATTAATAAATTAAATGCATTTTCACTGACTGCCGTTATTTTGCAAAAATTCATAAACAAAATGCGAACCTTTGTATTGATGCTGAAATTTAAACCACCCAGTATAGGGCCCAAATTTGAATGTTCGATGATTACATAGGATGTTTCCCTTATATCGACACCGGATGATTTCAGGCTTTCCTTGAGGAAAGAACTTTGTAAAATGGAGATATTACCGAAATTTCTACACTTAAAGTAACTTACATTATTATCCACGTAACAATCACAAAAATCACTTAGACATTTTTTATGTTCGATTTTGTCCGGATTCTTTGCAAGATAATGATTATATAATATAACGATATTTAACGTAATAAAGATATGTCTGATGTTTAAACACAAGATTGATTTAGTATGCATGAATAAAGGCAAATCATTTTGCCCCCTTTAAAGAAGTTTAATATTTAGTTTAGAGATTATTGAATTATTATGAATATAAACATTTCTTAATAAAATCTTTAAATACATATATATACTTAATATTTAAATAAATAACGTTCTAAAAATATACATGTATAATATTATTTAATATTTATCACTTTATGTTACTATTTCCCTTCTTTTTCAAGTCTAATTTATTATCGAATATATCAGTAAAAGAATTATTTCGTAAATATTTGAAGGAACCTTAATTATCTTTAAAAGGGAATTCTTAGTGTCAAAAACTAATGGCAGTCTGCTTTTCCTGTCATGAACTATCTTTCCAAAATAGATAAAATTTGGATCAGGCCCTTCTTCCAAGATATGTTCTTTATCAAAAACATTGCTCTTCGCAACAGTTTTACTTCGACAAAACCATATTTGCACAAGTATGCAGGAGACAAAGGCCAAATTTCTTACATTTTAAAAGAGACTGGCATTCTGGCATTAAACCCCTATTATACGTGCGTTGATTCTTTCATTCTAGCCTTTATTATAGGCGCATCGACATTCTGGCATTAAAACCCTATTATGAGTGCGTTAATTCCTTTCTGAAAATTTTTAACTCTATCTAGTCTAAACTTTGAAGGGCACTTGTATAATCTTTTTGCTAGAGGAACAAGACATATTTCTTAATGAAAAACTTTCAAGATTCCCAAAATTCTCTATGTATTAAGTTAAAATATATTGGTATCTTCAAATTTACAAGAATAAAAATATATGAGTTAAAAATGAAAGAAATAGTGGGAAAATTACCAATCTTCGTTTTAATGACCTCTCAAGGCTTTAATTAATAATGCCCACTTACAATGGAGGAATCGAAATTCGGTCTCCAATATATTATCGATTTCTGGGCTTATCTCATCAAAGCTTGCGAATACCGCTAAGATGCAACACAAAAGCATATGCGTAATATTTGCAGGTTCTGTTGATTATCTTTGCACCTATTTGCATGTTGATTAATCTTCCTTTGAACAATTGTTCAGGATATAAATTTCTAGAGGCAATCATATCTTAAAAACTTAATTTGGAACGCGGTGATCAGAAATTTAAAAAATAGGGTCCAAAAGTATGGATCTACTTTTGTGAAAGACTTGTAGTTCAGATTAAGTCAATTGTCTTATTAACTCATTTTCTTCTAAACTTTTTATTATTCTGATATTACTCCTTTTATATACTTTTTTAAACCAATATTTATATAAAAAATAAAAATATAAATATAAATAAAAATATAAATATAAATATAAATATAAATGTAAATGTAAATATAAATATAAATAAAAATAAAAATATAAATATAAATGTAAATGTAAATATAAATATAAATATAAATATAAATATAAATATAAATATAAATATAAATATAAATATAAATATAAATATAAATATAAATATAAATATAAATATAAATATAAATATAAATATAAATATAAATATAAATATAAATATAAATATAAATATAAATATAAATATAAATATAAATATAAATATAAATATAAATATAAATATAAATATAAATATAAATATAAATATAAATATAAATATAAATATAAATATAAATATAAATATAAATATAAATATAAATATAAATATAAATATAAATATAAATATAAATATAAATATAAATATAAATATAAATATAAATATAAATATAAATATAAATATAAATATAAATATAAATATAAATATAAATATAAATATAAATATAAATATAAATATAAATATAAATATAAATATAAATATAAATATAAATATAAATATAAATATAAATATAAATATAAATATAAATGGAAATATAAATATAAATATAAATATAAATATAAATATAAATATAAATATAAATATAAATATAAATATAAATATAAATATAAATATAAATATAAATATAAATATAAATATAAATATAAATATAAATATAAATATAAATATAAATATAAATATAAATATAAATATAAATATAAATATAAATATAAATATAAATATAAATATAAATATAAATATAAATATAAATATAAATATAAATATAAATATAAATATAAATATAAATATAAATATAAATATAAATATAAATATAAATATAAATATAAATATAAATATAAATATAAATATAAATATAAATATAAATATAAATATAAATATAAATATAAATATAAATATAAATATAAATATAAATATAAATATAAATATAAATATAAATATAAATATAAATATAAATATAAATATAAATATAAATATAAATATAAATATAAATATAAATATAAATATAAATATAAATATAAATATAAATATAAATATAAATATAAATATAAATATAAATATAAATATAAATATAAATATAAATATAAATATAAATATAAATATAAATATAAATATAAATATAAATATAAATATAAATATAAATATAAATATAAATATAAATATAAATATAAATATAAATATAAATATAAATATAAATATAAATATAAATATAAATATAAATATAAATATAAATATAAATATAAATATAAATATAAATATAAATATAAATATAAATATAAATATAAATATAAATATAAATATAAATATAAATATAAATATAAATATAAATATAAATATAAATATAAATATAAATATAAATATAAATATAAATATAAATATAAATATAAATATAAATATAAATATAAATATAAATATAAATATAAATATAAATATAAATATAAATATAAATATAAATATAAATTATAAATATAAATATAAATATAAATATAAATATAAATATAAATATAAATATAAATATAAATATAAATATAAATATAAATATAAATGCGGATGGTAAGCGTCCCGACGGCATATCTTTGTCGTCTTGGCACGGCGGCAAAAAACTTGTCTGGGATGTCTCGTGTGTTACCTCCTTTCCAGCTAACGGAAATACCGACCCCTTGGAACTTCAAGAAGTCAATAAGCTTCATAAATATAGATTCCTCCCTAATTCTTTTATATTTATTCCCCTAATTTTTAGCGTTCTAGGTAGTGTTGTTAAAACGCCGCGAGTCGCGACCCCGACCCAAAGCTCGGGTCGTTTTATTCGACTCCGACTCAATGTTTGGGTCGTTTTTTTCGACTTCGACCCGAGTTCAAGCCGAAAAAAACGACTTCGACCGAAAATATGGGTCGTTTTTTTCGACTCCGACCCAAGTCCAAGCCGAAAAAAACGACCTCGACCCAAAATATGGGTCGTTTTTTACGACTCCGACTCAAAATTTGGGTCGTATATTTCGACTCAAACTTGAAATTTGGGTCGTATTTTTCGACTTAAACTTGAAGTTTGGGTCATATTTTTCGACTCAAACTTGAAGTTTGGGTCGTATTTTTCGACTAAAACTTGAAGTTTGGGTCGTATTTTTCGACTAAAACTTGAAGTTTGGGTCGTATTTTTCGACTAAAACTTGAAGTTTGGGTCGTATTTTTCGACTAAAACTTGAAGTTTGGGTCGTATTTTTCGACTCTAACTCAAAGTTTGGGTCGTTTTTCTGACTCAGACTCAAACATCGGGTCGTTTTATTCAATCCGACCCAAAATATGGATCTTTCTTTTTAAAGACGACTTAAAGTTAGGGTTGCTTTTTTTCACCCCTAACCCAATATCTAGATCATTTTTTTCGACCAAAAGTCAAATAACATTTAGTATATATTAATATTATAGGCGGGAAAGTTACTTAAAGCTTCTTTAAATTATAATGCTCTGATTAACTATTCATCATAGTTATATTTTAAAATTTTTAAGTGATGTACCATAGAAAAGTGCCATTTGTCATGATAATTATTTTTGAACTTTTTTAAATGAAATAGAAAAATATATATTGTAGACATGTTAAATCAAAATTTCAGTGATGATGTACCATAGATAAGTGGTAATTGTCATAATCGCTATTTTTGAACTTTTTTGAGTTTTTTTAAAGCAAATTGCTAAAAATATATATTCTAAACATGTTAAATTAAAAATTCAGTGAGGATGTATTATAGATAGGTGACAATTGTCATAATCGCTATTTTTGAACTTTTTTCAATTTTTTTAAAGGAAATAGCAAAAAATATATATTCTAACCATGTTAAATTAAAAATTCAGTGAGGATGTATCATAGATATGTGACAATTGTCATAATCGCTATTTTTGAACTTTTTCAAATTTTTTTAAAGGAAACATATTAAAATATATATTCTAAACATGTTAAATTTAAAATTCAGTGAGGATGTATCATATATAGGTGACAATTGTCATAATCGCTATTTTTGAACTTTTTCAAATTTTTTTAAAGGAAATATCTAAAAATATATATTCTAAACATGTTAAATTAAAAATTCAGTGAGGATGTATCATAGATAGGTGACAATTGTCATAATCGCTATTTTTGAACTTTTTCAAATTTTTTTAAAGGAAATAGCTAAAAATATATATTCTAAACATGTTAAATTTAAAATTCAGTGAGGATTATCATATATAGGTGACAATTGTCATAATCGCTATTTTTGAACTTTTTCAAATTTTTTTAAAGGAAATATCTAAAAATATATATTCTAAACATGTTAAATTAAAAATTCAGTGAGGATGTATCATAGATAGGTGACAATTGTCATAATCGCTATTTTTGAACTTTTTCAAATTTTTTTAAAGGAAATAGCTAAAAATATATATTCTAAACATGTTAAATTATAATTTCAGTGAGGATGTATCATAGATAGGTGACAATTGTCATAATCGCTATTTTTAAACTTTTTCAAATTTTTTTAAAGGAAATATCTAAAAATATATATTCTAAACATGTTAAATTAAAAATTCAGTGAGGATGTATCATAGATAGGTGACAATTGTCA